GATCGTTGCGGCTTTTTAGTCGTTTTATCTCATTCGTTCAATTAATCCGATCGTTGCGGCTTTTTAGTCGTTTTTTCTCATTCGTTCGGTTAATCCGATCGTTGCGGTTTTCTAACCGTTTTCTCTCATTCGTTGGTTAACCCAATCATTGCAACTTTCTTATCGTTTTTACTTTACTCGTCTAGTCACCCGATCGTTGTGGTTATAAAACCATTTTTACTTTACTTGTTCAATTTTACTTTATCTATTTAGTTTTTAAAAAAAAAGAAGAAAAAAGAAAAAAGAAAAAAACAAACAAAAAAAAAACAAAAAAAAACAAAATTTTGAGTTATTCTTGTCTTTTCTTTTCATTCTTGACAGAAAGAGAAGAAAAGGGGGGCAACTGTCATAACTCAAATTTTAGTAAAATTTTATTTTATTTTTATTTTTATTTTAACTAATATGTTTTGTCTTTGTTTTACTTGTTAGGTTCATTCAAAGAAAAAAAGGGGGGGGGCAAAAAGGAAATTTTACGAAGAAGATTGAAGATGAAGGAAGGGACTTAATTGAAGAGATGAAAAGTTGGAGGGGTGAAATGCAAAATCTAGCCTAAAACCCATCAAACCCAAACCAAAACCCAAACTCAAACCCAATTACCCAAAACCCACCAAAATCCAAAGCTTACCAACTACCCAAGCCCAAAATCCCAAAAACCAAAAATTACTTAAAACCCCAAACCCACAATTACTCAAACCCAAACCCATTTAACCTAAAAAAAAAAAAAGGGGAAATTAAAAAATGGATCTAGAACCTTCTCCTTCCCCATCAATCTTTCCTCTCTTCTGCAGCCGAGCCAGCCTACCCCTCTGCACCGCGCCCAGCCTTGCACTCCCACGCCTGCTCAGCACCCCTAGCTCCTACGCCCCTAGCTCCTACGCCCCTAGCTCATGCGCCCAGCTCTGCACCGAACTAGCCATCATCACCCCCTCGCACGCCTGCAACCTGCCCTGCACCGAGCCATCATCGCCCCCTCGCACGCCCAGCCTAGCTGCACCAGCCCTGCACCTACGCCCTTGCTCCCTGCTCTGCGCCCAGATCGTTTGCACTCTGCCCCAGCCTGCACTCTGCTGCGCCCGGCCTTGCTTCCTGCACCAGCTTTGCTCTGCACCAGCTCCTGCGCTCTGCACCAGATCGCCTGCACTCTGCTTGCCCTGCTGCGCCCCACTGCCGGCAATGATGCCCCTGCACGCCCGAGCCATCATCAGCACTCCACGCCCCTGCCTCCCTGCACACCGCGCCT